AAATATTCTGAAATATCAATTCATTATGACCATATTTCATAATCTATTTTTTAAAGTAACCCTCCTTACATTAAAGATAACTTAATGTAATATAGTACTTAAAGACATTGCAACAAACCGAATAATCAGGGGGGAGACTTTATACTGAGGGGGGCGCGAAATATATCCGCCCGGGGGAGATTTTATTTCAGAACAGATTCGCCGGGGGAGAATCTGTACCGGTATAAAATCTCCGGGGGGAGAATTTGTACGGGGGGGGGGGGGGGGGGGGTTTATACCGGGACACCGGCACCTCCTGAGGAGTCAGTGAATGAGTTGGGTTGCAATGCGTACATGGAACTGTAGCATCTATTCCGAATGGCTTTTTGAAGAGAACAGACCACGTATTGATTTGCGTATAATAGATGTTATCGATGCAGTAAACCAATCTGATCAAATTAGTATTACAACCCGATAGTATGCAAATACTTTTACTGAGCTCCATACTTAGTAAGTATTTGCCTGACGTTAAAGTTTAGATCGGTGTTTCGGGATGTGTGAGTATGTTTCTATACACAGGAATGGCTTCGAATCATTCAAGTATTTATTCTTCAGTCGTGACATTATGTCTCAAACATCGAGCAATTTAAAAATGACATGAAAAAGAAATTTTCCCTCGAGTATTTCGGCATATCATGAATCAAAATATATACTATCGGCTAAAAATCTCTGTTTCTTTTCAGATTTGCTGGAGCTGATGCATATGATACCCGGATATGGCATTTGGAACTGACGGTAAAACATCTTCTACAGACAGACATGACGTCAATATTTAATGCTTTGATGATAAAGGTGTTACCATACAGTGGACGTCGTCATACGCTTCCATGACAACTGAATTCCGTCGTGATAATATTTATCAAGCAAATATATGTTATATGATATAATTACAACAACATATACATATCGCCATGCTGATAGCCACTTTTTCAAATTTCGAAACAGTGACGTAGAAAACAAACAGGGCTTAGATTGTGGCAATATTGTTGTCGTTCTACAATACACTATTCAAAAGAAGAGTGCCCATAATGAAGGTGTTCGCCCTTTTACGTTTTTCCTTTCACAGACGGGGCGGTCGGGTAGCCTAGTGGTTAAAGCGTTCGCTCGTCACGCCGAAGACCCGGGTTCGATTCCCAACATGGGTACAATGTGTGAAGCCCATTTCTGGTGTCCCCCGCCGTGATATTGCTGGAATATTGCTAAAAGCGGCGTAAAACCATACTCACTCACTTTCACAGACACATTCATTTTCCCGACGTTTTATGTGGCTGACTTATTGAGAGTCAAGATAACAGAAACACAATATAGTAGTAGCTAACTATCACCTCTTTCTGTATATCTGATTAACCAATCTTTTAAACCAAGTCATTAAAAAATAAGATAATACATTCATGAACCAACCACATTTTATTTTCTCTTATTCAGCCAATACTAGTATTTAAAGTACATTGTAGACATGGTGCTTCTTTATTAAAACTTGCTATAATTTCACTAATTTCACTAATTTCACTTTCAAATTAATTTTCAGATTTAATCTATTCGCTATGGAAATGTCCATGCGTGATGTGAAGGCTTATTCCAAAAGAATCTAAATGTGGATTGCATTGTATAATTATTTATCTTAGTGCTGTACATCTGTCAGTATTTGGTATATAAACACAATGTTATAACGATATCGATACTGGGCAGTTAGCATCATACCTGCGCTCGTGGGCCTCACTAAAAAAAGTCAGTCTACGACCTAGGTCAGCTTGGAGAGTCCTCCATATTAAGAGGACACACTTTGATTAAACGGAAATACTGTAAGTTCAAAGCGCCGTTAATCCTACCACCTAACTCATTTTCATGTTATATCCGAGTCATTTTTTGGAAATATATAAGCGTGGTTCCAAACAGTACACCGTAAAATCATATTATCAGCAGCCTCGCAAGAGAAGGTCAAAGATCAAAGGTCAAGGTCATTACATTTATTACTAAAACAATCAATACATATTTGAGTGGTTTTATCATTAGATGAAGTTCTGCTTGAAAAGATTTTGATCAATACTTGCTATCATGGTGAGTCTAATTGTGCTGTTTATTATTCTAGAAAAACCACAGAGCAGCCATGGTTATTTCAAAATCGGATTAATTTCAGAATATATCGCCAAGCTGTTACCATAGTATTTCTACCTGAAGTATCCGTAGTATGAGTCATCTCAAAGGTATCCATTCTTAATTTACCAACATATTCCTGATATAGATACTTATCTGTTGACTTGTAATTAATTTAAGATATACAATACGCGCTTCAATTTAGAAGCGTTTTGCAGTTACTTAAAGTCCGACACACAGTTCAACTCTCTCTGTCAACTTAAAGCAAACACGATCAGAAATAGATGCTGAACGTTTTGCCACAGTTGAAACATCTGATATATAAACCTAGCCGTGACAGACTTAGTTCTGCTGTCGTACACTGTGGTCACACAGTTTCTTAGGGTAATCTGCTTCGTGCAACAGTATACCTTAATTTCCTGCTCAACACTGTACCAATTAAACGTCGGCCAGGGGCTGATTCGGCATATCTTTTTAAGCCAGAAACACAGGCGTTATCCCATATTACCATCTATGCAAATGTTATTCATGCTTAGGAGCATATATATTTATTTACAAATTGACTTCATTATTTTCTTGCGAACATTTGGGTATCCATTCAGAAAACATTACCTAAATTAATCACATCACCAACATCACAATTCCTCATTGCAAAGGAAATATAGTTTTTTGATCTGATTTAGTCTCAAATATATTCATTGGGACCATAATGGCAATTTGGTGTTATGAGAATAGCTGATGTCTTATTGCGTTACACAGTAAGGTTGGTTTAGTTCAAAGAGATGGAAATGTACCAGGTCCTACATATTCATTATGTCATTGAAGCTTCGTGACCATAAACGGTAAGATAATTAGCTTTTGTCCTATTGAATATGTTAGCTTAAATCGAAGATTTGCAGTTGTATACTGCATACATATAGGTATAAACGACAGACAAATATCAATTTACCGACAGACAAATTTAATATCAAATTACAGCAATATTTAATTTATTAAACAAAAACAATTATGCCCTGAGCTTCTATTTGGGGAAGGATGACCACGCTAGAGGTTCAGAAGCTCACCTTTCATAGACCACACTACGCTTGATTGGACGTTACTGGATACAGCAGTTAATGTGTCTTAAAATCATTCTACCTATATATACCGATCGAAGGGAGTTATCATACATAACGTCCTGGTTGTTCCCTGAGAATGATGGACCTCTGTTGCATGTTAACAGGCATGTTAATGGTAAACTTGCTGACTCTTCCTGATTGTGGTCCATTGTATAGAATTGTCAAGCAATACCAATATTTTGGCATCAGTATATCTGGAGTCAGCTGCGAAGATGCTGGCAAATGTTGAGTTCATCTCTAAACTTTGTTGATGTGTTGCCATTAGGTGACGAACGTGCGGACGAAAGGAAAAGCTCACACTGCAATGTCAATGTGGGTTAAACGGAGAACATAGTTCATAGAAGCGGTTGGCCCAGTACATCTCCTGGGGTAAATATAAATTGGCTATAGAAGAGAATAAACAGCCCAGAATTTCTGCTGAAGCAGATTCCACTTGGCGTAAAGGGCAAGATAGTCGTGGAACGTATATGAATGGACCGCTGAAACTCAGTGATAACACCAGGTGTTGATCAATAGTAAACGATCGATTTAATCAGAAATGTTGGCAACCTCTATCATGATGACCTGTGTGTGGTTGACTGAGGAGCTTGCAAACCAGAGTCAACAAGCAGAAACACCGTGGAGGTTCTATATTTCACATTTTCTTCCTGGGTTGTGATTCATGCACAGTTCAGTTCAAGTACAGCAGACATGTTCGCTCGTCTCATCCGTGCCCATTGTTATCTGACCTCTCTGGCGCGAGACCAACTATTCGCCAAAGGAAACAGGTTGCTTCAATATGGACGTCGACTCCGTTCCAGTTCTATAGTGATTTAATGGACAATGCATCGACATAGATGCATTGGTTTATTGACAGGTAACAGAACAGTGCGCCCTACAACAACCAGTACATTTAGAACCTTGGAAACGTGCCGACCTATTGATACTATACTACTCAACTTATGATAGGGATGTGCCTATCATTCCGAAAAGAAAAAACAAGCAGGAAATGGTTTGTTTTTTTCGATAGTGATGTATTCGATACGGGTATTGTAGTTGTGTTTTGGACAGAAGTTTACAATGTTTCGGCAACTGTTTTCAGCTTGTAATGTTTTCATAACGGTGTACACTTTCTTTTGCCCGGCAGTTTACATCAAAATGATGACTTAAACGTGTCTAGCTGGTTTTACGTCCTCAATTAAAACAAAGGCTTTGAGAAATATAACTCCGAGACAATCATATAAGTTATATGTTACAACTTGACTACAGTAGTGAGCGAATGCTGCTTAACGCCACAGCTAGGATTTGTTTGTTTGTTGTTTAACGCCACACTCAGCAAAATCCCAGCTGTATGACGGCGGTCTGTAAATAATCGAGTCTGGACCAGTTTATCCAGTGAATGAGTTCATGAGCATCGATCCACGCAATTGGGATCGATGACATGCGTCAACAAAGTCAGCGAGCCTGACCAACCGATCCCGTTAGTCGCCTCTTACGACAAGCATAGTCACCTTTACGGCAGGCATGGGTTGCTGAAGACCTATTCTTCCCCGGACCTTCACGGGTCCCACAGCTAGGAATACTCCAGATATAACACAGTGCCCTACACACAAATAGGTCTGAAGCAGGCAACCCAGCAGGTGAACATGAACGAGTTAATCAAGTCACAGAGTCTGATCCCCAGATCCAATGAAGTCTCTCTGGAGCGACCTTCAGCCGAGTCTTTGGGACATTTTTAAAGTGATATATAAATTAATAAATAAAAATAGCTGTGTGGAATAGTATTTCATTAGCCGGCACCATAATTTGTACAGGTACAGGGCACTCATAAACAATAACAACTTATTCAACATAGTTTCACACTAAACATGCATAAGACAACAGCCACACAACATCGTGACACATCCATACGCATTGAAGCTCTCATATATTTTCCTATTTTCTGTAGCAATGACTTTATAAGAAAGGAATTAGACACTTGTTATAGGTGGAAGTCGTGATTGATGAAATTCGACAGATCTCCACTTGTCGACACAGGAAGCAGCACTCCGGATCCTGGCCACTCTTGACGTACTTGTTTCTCATATAGCGGTCAAACAGGGATCTGTCTGTGGCCAATCTGGAAAAAGATGTTTGTCGCACAATGAATTCATTTGGATATGTTGTTTGTTTGTTTGTTCACTTGCTTTGTAAGGATAAGATATATGGATGTTTACTTCTTTAGGAACGACGCTTCAGTGTATGTTTCGGTGTAAGTTGAGTCGATGGGGTTGCACTGTGCAGATGACTCAATACAACCTACCTGTGGACGAGACTGTGGTAGGACTGTGGGCTCAAGTCGGGGAGGTTGTACTCGGACCTGGCGGAGTAGGACATCTGTAATGTAGCCACGCCCTCGGCTGCAAGAGTGAGTGTATGTGTTTGGCTTAACTTTGAAGAGTATTCCAGTCATAACACAGCGTGTCAGCTTGATGTTAGGAAAGCCCGACATGATGCAGGTCACACACGTTCAGCACATTAGTAAAACCCACGAGTACTGGTATGATGCTCACCTGTCGGGCTTTAATCGTAGTTGACGGATAATTGTGAGCACAATCAGAAAGCTTCTGTCATTCAAACATCACGCTTTCAACAGTATTTCAGTTATATCGCGGCGTGTCAGCTAATGTAAGGGGAAAGCCTGAAGTGATGCAGGTCTCAGACGTTTATCAGCTTGGGGAAACCCACGAGCACAGGTATGGTGCAGACAAACCTAGAAACATAATCATCGAGAGTCTGGGATTCTGATCCACAGTCATAGGTTTTTGGCGTGCCCAAGAGACGCAACTCTGAACAGACTGGGCCACCTTTGCAGACTATGACACTGAATGTTGACATGCCCACATTGTATGGAGTTTATGTGTCAGAAGGTCATCAACCCACCATTTGCTTTAGTTAGGTCAATATAGTACTGATCATAGTCCTGTACTTGGAAGGTTTCCCTGTCCAGCTTGTACACTCGGAAGGAAGGGTTGGTCTTCGCTTGGGTGGTCACAGAAGGTGCGACAAAAACAACCCCTGTCGGCCGGCTTGTGTCAGATGGATCCGTTATCTGTCAACAGATAGTTCATGTTTACATCAATATCCTTATAACACAAGACTACACAAGGCTCTATCCGAATATATATGAGTTATTTGATTTTCAGTGAATCGCATTCCAATTTTTTAACGTCTGTTGTACTGTAATTTTCAGAAACATCCTCTGAGAAATGACAATCAGAAGGTAACATACTTAAAGTAGGAGATAAACCGACCATGTTTTCAATAAAAGGTTTCCATCGTAGATTCGATACCTGTAAATTTCTTTTCAGCTGACGCGTTCTGTTTGAAACCTCTGAATTTAATACACGGTAGGTTTATCTCCATTCTACAGTCTGATATGTTTAACTATTTGAATGGTCGAATTCAGGGATCAATTATCAGTTCTATAAGATCAATTATTATCTTATGTCGCAAACCAAAATTTTAACCCATGTTACGTAACTCTCTCCTGTACCAGACAATAAAATTATTTTGCCCACATGCCGTGTAAGCATTATTCTAGCGGTGTTCGCCTAGGGAAACTTAAGTGACCATAGCAACGTTTAGTTCCAAGTGATATCATTGCAGTCTGAGGCAGCGATGTTCAAGCATTGTGACGCGGTAGACATTACCTAGTTATGTTGATACTAGTGATACTTTTTAGTCACTGTTCGTTAGGTTTTCTGTCGCAAAATCGATTGCCACATAATATGCTAGGATTCACAACAAGGTTTTTCAAAGCATTTATAAAACTGTCAATTGTAATTAAATCATCTTTATTTGAAATTGCTACCCATCAGTGTTTGTGAAGGAAGTAAGTTGAAATAAATCTTACGTTCTTTCGCGCTGTGCTGTCATCAACACAATCATGCCATACATTATTCGTCACCACTCGCCCCTTTCCATAACCTGCGAGAAGACTCGTCCCCCTATCGATGAATATTATGTGCGAAAATACGACAAACCAATCAGAATGCGCGCATGTTTTCAAGTTCTTCGTCTAAGAATCCCTCAGAACAATGTTTTGATTGTACATATGTCTTGCATCTAAAATTATACCCAAGGCACAGTTAAATGTGTTCAATCATACTGTATAATGCATGTCCAGATGTGCTTTGAATTGCATCTGAAATATATACGATATATAGGGAAATATATGTGAACCATTACGCGACGAGTTGACAATTATTTTTGGTATGCCCGTTTGCGCTAAGACGGAACCCGGTCGCAAAAATGGCCACGAGAGGGGCACGAGTCGCTATTCGGCTTGTCCCGGAATAACACGAGTTGGTCACGAATCATGCCATACATTTGATACCACTGGTGCACCAATCAGAATGCGGAATTTTAAAATGTCATGGCAGAATATGTGTTCCTCAGATCTGAAAAATGGGGATACGGAGGACGACTTTTGAAATTTAATACGAGACTCGTTGTTTAATTTCTTTTAACTAAAAGGATGAAGTAAAAACTTCAAATTTACCAATTTTAGATTTAAACCTTAACTCTGTTTCGCCTTGATCTTTGTAACTTTTTGACAGCCATTTTATGCGAGGCAAATCTGATAACATGTTCATGATCAGAAAGTCACGTATAAATGTTGGGTGTGTACAAATGGACGTTTTGAAAGTTAATAATTGTAATTGACACATTTACATAAAAGAGCAAAGGGTTTTACAAGCATTTGACAATATCTCATGCCGGGACACTGAGAATGCCCTTTATATGTTTTACCCCGGTGATTAGCGTGAACACCAGGCTTCCCATTGCCATTAAAACAGCATGAAGCTTTCAAGACGTCAACTACCACCTCGACGTGGCGTCTGTGTAAATGGGGGTCTGTGTAAATGGGGGTCAATGAGGAAGTCTTACCAGTTCAAATTCGTCGTGATGAGTATGGCTGAAGACGTTCATGGCGATGACGTCGGCATACTTCCTGATTATCTCCGTGTATATGTCCCCGTACTGGCTCTGTACCCAGAATTCCCCGGGTGGAATGTGGCCAGTTATTATGACCTGTTGTTAGGAAAAATGTTTCATGATTACATACAACGATAAAGTAAAAACTGAAAAAGATTCTCGAAGCACTGTAGCACACGTAAAACATTCTAAAACAGTCCTAAAGATCACACAAGGATACACCAGCTTTTACACAAACAGTGCTACAGTGATTAATCGGTTCGCTTGTGGCAACATGGACAGCCAAGTAAATGAGGGTCAAGAATAAAATTAGAACCAAAATTCGAAATATTCCGAAAATACGGCTAGTTTATAGCATCAAGTCTATAGCATACATACTGAAAGTGTTTGGTAACTGTTGCTTATATTTCTTAAGTGCTTAAAGCTTAACAGCGTAATTGATTGTGGGAAGGTTCAAAGCACACTAACAAAAATCTGCCATGAATGCAGTGCAGTTATACACAGTTATATACACGCTGCTACGTATTTGTCTCTAGCACCATGGTTATGACGGTGACCCAATTTAAGCTGTTTAGTTATATCAACTGCAAGGTGAAAGAAAGTATACACCCATGTTTGATGAAACAAATAAGAAATCGTTATTCGGTGGTGCTGTATTTGATACGGGTATCACATCTGTGTTTTGGAGCTTAGGGTTGCAGTGTTTCCGCTTCTGTTTTTCGCCTATTTTTTAGTGAGAGAGTGAGTATTGTTTTACGCCGCTTTTAGCAATATTCCAGCAATATCACGGACACAAGAAATGGGCTTCACGCATTGAACCTATGTCGGGAATCGAACCCGGGTCTTCGGTGTGACGAAAGAACACTTGAACCACTTGGCCACCTGTTTTGTAAGTAACGTTTTCGTAATGTCCAAGTGCATACTTTCTTTTGACCATCAGTTTACATACGACAGTGACAGTGTCACAAGTTCCCCTCAGCACGCAGGTATTGTAGTGAGTTGATATTTAAAGTCACATCGGCAATATTTCAGCCATATAGTGACTATCGCAGGTATTGTAATGAACGCTACAACCCATTGCCTTAGGTAATAACAGGCACGAAGAAGACACGACAAACATATTACCTTCTCATTGTGGTCAGATGCGTTCCTCAGTGTTTCGTCAATGAACTTAAGCTGCTGCTCGTAGGCCGGCACCTTGTGGTTCAGTAGGGAGTAGAAGTTGAGAGAATACCTGAAGCGTATAGTGAGTGAGTGAAGGAGTGTAGTCACTGACAGCTTTATAGTGTTCCAGGGTGGTCATGATACACTGGGATTTCCTGGCGCGACGGGCGAACACTTTAACCTGTAGGCTAGGGTACCGTTGCTTTGGTATAAGGCGACAATATACTGAGACCTCGTTAGGACGGACCCTGTTAAACCGCAAACCACTTTTACCGGAACATTACTGCCGGGATGCTTATAGTATTACATGTATACAAGAGACCTAACACTGTAAATAGCGACAAAACCCTTTCCATAATCACACGAAAATCTACTAAAAGCAGAGTTCATTGTTCGATTCCGACCATATCACAAGCATGTGTTTTTGAATGACTATGATAAAGTGATAATACCAGATGTTCGCGAAACATCTCAAGTCAAAATAGGGAACTGCATCGGACGTCATTACACCATAGCATTTACTCGTTCACTCGGGGGGGCGGACGGGTAGCCCAGTGGTTTAAGCGTTCGCTCGTCACGCCGAAAAACCGGGTTCGAATCCGGACATGGGTACAATGTGTGAAGCCCATTTCTGGTGTCCCCCGCCGTGATATTGCTGGAATATTGCTAAAACGGCGTAAACCCATACTCACTCACTCGAAACTTTGTTAATCCTGACATGCTTCAGTGGGAATGCACCGTCTGGATTAACGAGGTTTTACTGATTCGCCCAGGGTACAGATAATTCTGGACATATGATAACCAACATGACACAGTAGACACACCCGTGTTCAATAATATCTGACATTAAATGATATCAATATTGTACCAGTAGTCTGTGTTTATTGACAGTATCCGCAGTCCGGGCTGGACTAGTGTTGTATAGTAGGCCGAGTACTGGATATTCTTCAACTGGTCAGCTGGAATGTCGAACAGCTGCTGCCACCCCTCGGCTGTCTTGATGTTCAGTGTCTGGGAGGTGAGAGTAGGTAGTTTAACACGACATTCAGCATCACACGAAGCCCGTGTTAGTGCCTTATCATCATCATGAGTGGTACTCGTTGTAGTAGCAGTAGTTGTGGCGGTGGTAGTGGTAGTAGCAGGGGTAGTAGTGGTAGTGGCAGTGGTAGTTGTAGCAGTATTAGCATAGCAGTAGTAGTAGTAGTGGTGGTAGTTGTAGTAGCAGCAGCAGTAGTTGTGGTGGTAGTACTAGTAGAAGTGATAGTAGTAGTAGTGTTGGTTTTGGTGGTGGTGGTAGTAGTAGTAGTAGTAGTTAAGAAAGAAGAAGTATTTTGTGATAATTTGTCATTATTAGTGGTAATAGTAGTAGTAGTGAGTGAGTGAGTAAGTGAGTGAGTTGGGTTTTAACAGTATTTCATTTATATCAAGGCGTGTCAGCTAAGTGTGGGAGGAAAGCCCGAAGTGATGCAGGTCTCAGACCTTTACCACGAGCACGGATATGGTGCTGACAAACCTAGAAACATTATCGGGGCGAACCGGGATTCATTTATAAAAGGAAGTCTATAAACAAAGCGAGCGTTCATGTATTTGGTATTGTATAGATTAGAGTTTTGTTTATCTCCAGAGATCAGAATAACACCAAGCAAATGTAGGAATGTTTCTTCCAGCGTTGTAAATATAAACATATGTTATGTTACCTTGTACTCCTGGTGTGGCTGGTAGTATTCACTCTGGGGAAAGGATTCTGCGGAGAAAAATATCAACGACATTATATAAAGGTCCATTCTGATTATTCCTGATGCAATTGTACTGACGAATTCTTCCACAAAGTAAAAGCCACGTTACCTTGTTCATAATCATCCCCAGTACGATTCCGACTAAATCACAAGCATGTGTCTATGAATCACTTATGAATCACTTATGAATCACTTATGAATCACTTCAAATAGTGATGATACCAGGTGTACGCGAAAAGGTCAGCGTAATCCACCCCACCGGTGGCATCCGTCACAAACACATGCAGGGGCAAGTCAATTGTTAACTTGAACAAACACGGTTCATAAGTCAAAAAGGGAAAATTGCATCGGACATCATTTTGGTCACTGTACAAGTCCTCCATTGGTCTACCATGACATCTTTTGAAAACTTTACTTTGGCCTTTTTTTGGTGTAAACCTGATGAAACAACTTTTGAGCAAGACTCGTATGACGTGTGTCGTATGACGTGTGTCAACCAGGAAAGTTGACTATTGCAATGTTGTCATAAAATCTTTTGGTATTTTTTTTGTCACAAAGCATGCACACACACACACCATGGTTTCCTAGGACTGGGTACACGGCGATTTCTGGCAGGTAGGACTTGATTATGTTGATGACGTCAAGGTCAGCGTTAAACTGGGTGGACCAGGACTCTTCCCATAGATCATGGGGTGGGGAATCACCTAAAATGGTAGAAATCTCTAGAGGCATACACATGTACCACATAGGTCAGCAGATAACAATATTGTCCGTTTGTTTGTTTGTTTTACGCCGCAATCAGCAATATTCCAGCTATATGACGGCGGTCTGTAAATAATCGTGTCTGGACCAGACAATCCAGTGATTGATATCATGAGCATCGATCAACGCATTTGGGATCGATGACATGCTTCAACCAAGTCAGCGAGCCTGACCACCCGATCCCGTTAGTCGCCTCCTACGACAAGCATATTGGCCTTCCACGGCAAGCATGGGTCGCTGAAGACCTATATGTTTGTCTCATCAAAGTGGCAAACGTCTAAGGCCTGCATCACTTCGTGATTTACACCAACATTTAGCGGACATGCCGTGATATAACTAAAATACTGTTCAAAGGATGTTAAACTGACTGCGATATGTACGTCAGCGTTACGATATATCGGTACATAGGGATATTGTGTCAAGTTACTAGTATCGTATCGTGTGGTCATGTATTGTGTGTGAAACACGTATACCACGAGGACATTTCATGCCATGGAAATGTGAATTTTACATTTACATATAAAAACCTATATTCTTTGACGTAACGCAGTTTCATCAGCAACTAATGACGTCATATAGCAAGTTTCTCAACAATATGAGGTCATGTTGCTTATTATCAACAATTATCCATTTAAAAAATAAACAAACAAAAAACCCAAATAGGAAACGGGCAATACGACAAGATTACAGGTGTGTTTTCATAAATCATCATATGCTGAATCATATCGCCTGTATCGCGCAGTGAGTGTATGGTTACAGCCCTAGCATCCCGCACGATCTAGATGACACAGAGACACTTCTTTGCATTGTTACCTGTATATATGACAAAGTCTGGCTGAGGGTCTAGAGCAGCGATGTGGCTTAAGATGGTTTCCACAGTTCTCGGCGGAGCGTCACAGTTGTAGTCTCCGAACTTTCCGGCGGAGCCCTGCAAAGTTGAAGTGCATGACGAGATAATCAAAATAAAGCTTCCATAAAGATGGCAATGTGTGTCCAGGGGGTCCTTTTGAAACCAAATGTTGGTTGTTGTAGACAATGTCCACCAACCTTCGAGAATACTTCGCGCATTAAATTATCCTCTCATCTTACCTCATGGTTTCATGGAACTAAGTTTTTTTTTATTCAGCTGGTAGTTTCAATTCTGGCATCCTGCACTATGAAGCCGAATTTTACCGAATGAAATAATGCGACAATCTTCCGGGATGTGAAATTGTGACTTAAGAGTAATTAGAACTTACATTTGGTTCGATGTTTAAGGTGATTCGAATTGAACAAACGTCAACTACCTTACTTCTTTAAATTCCTTTGAAAGTTAACATTACTTGTTTGAAAAGCAACCATACTGTAATTATTATAATACACCTTGCACACCTGTACGTAAATAAATATAAGAAATATTAGATGACAAACGTCATCGACATACAAATGTAAACTTCACACATCAATGTCCAGTGTGAGGAATTTGGAAGAGAGTTACCTCCCATGCGCTCGAAACTTATCTCCCTTGATTAATGTAGTTCTATTTTCGATATGGACAAGCACATCATAGCCAAACCGTACATGTTAGAACCAGATAATGAGGAGGGTGGGGAGCGAGATGTCTAGTTGTCGGATAACGATAACGACGGAGACAGTCGACAAGAGTAAATTCGTCAAATGTCTGTGTACACTGCAACACGTTACTCACTGATCCGCTGAGCTCCTTCTTACAGCATATGTTCATTCGGCAATCTGTCGGGGAACCCTGTCGGAGATTAATATTTATTCAAACGAAAATAGTTCTGATACATAATACAGAGATACAAGATACACATGTGACACACAGATTTACGTGAGTGAATGCTGTTCCATTCCTTATGCATTGTTATAGAAACTATAGAATAGTAGGGACCAAGAGGTTTAAAGACCTCCGTCCGAGCTCAAGCACCACCCAAAGAGAAGTGTTGCTGACTGAATCTGAATACATTTCTTGCAATATAAATTTCTTTAAAATAAAGGGCGGTGTGGTTGCAGTGTGTGTGTGTGTGTGTGTTTGTGTGTGTGTGTGTGTGTGTGTGTGTGTGTGTGTGTGTGTGTGTGTGTGTGTGTGTGTGTGTGTGTGTGTGTGATATGTCATTTCGTATGCGATAATAATACCTCCCACCCCCCACCCCAAAACACACACTGGATCCCCCTGTTTATTGAATCCTGGATTCTCTGCCGTGCGTTTTTTTAAAGCAGCGAAAAATTGTACTCTTCCAATATGAATACTTCAGCATTTGTTTTGTGTTGTGATAAATATAAATACGGCAAAACCATTTCTAAATCGTTAGAAATTCCGAATCCGTTGCACGGCCCCGATTATATCGAAACTATGTGGTTTTGGTCCACTATCAATTTTAGTAATTATACCAGGTGTTGAGCGTATCCTGTCCCACCGGTGGCACCCGCCACAAACACATGCAATGGCACGGCATCAAACCAGTAATTACAGGCATAGAACAGTTGTTTTGGGGTAAAACATAGTGCATACTGTGAACTCTAATTCTGTTTATTTAAAAACATAATGGTTATGATAAAACGTCTTTCTAAAAACGAAAATAAACCACGCCCAGTGACCAAGTTATATTTGTAACCTGACAATGAAGTCACAGTGTTTGCTAGTGTTCCGTCCCCACCAACCTCTGCATACTGTCGATCTATGTGTATGTCTGCTATCTGCACGATCCGTATAGGATCTGACGAGTCTGAAACAGCGCCGTGTCGATCTCGTATCTTTATCGGTTCTTTGTGGAACTGGTACACCGACGTCTCTTGTCTGTCTAACGTCATGCTATGTACTTGGTCTTCGCTATCCATCATTGCACTGTCTACGGCGTCCTGGCTCTCCAGCAGCAGATTGTGTTTGTGACTAAGAGGCGACAGTTTTGGTTCACAGAAGTGAAGCTCTCTACATGTCTCTACAGGGTCCAGGATAAGATGTGCCGCCACGAACAGAACCTAAATATGTGAAATATTGATATCGATGAGTAGTTTCAGGAATTCGGAATTTCACGAAGAAACATTTGAGGAGAATCCTCAGTAACTACCGTACTTTAACATAGAATTACAGGAACTGTAGTGGTTAGAAGCTTTGTGGTCAGATCCCTCAGCTTCTCTGTCATGTCTCGGTCATATATGACAAGTCAACTATTTTAGGATATACTTATTATATATAAATAAAGATTATAGATATATACTACACACAGGAAGTTAAAGATTAACTACAGTAATATGAAAACAACCGGGTGTTCTTTCGTTCGTTTGTTGTTTAACACACACAGAAATATTCCAGCTATATGACGGCGGTCTGTAATTAATCGAGTCTGGAACAGACAATCAAGTGATTGACATCATGAGCATCGATCTATGCAGCGAGCCTGACCACCCGATCCCGTTAGTCGCATCTTACAACAACCATAATCGCCTTTTACGGCAAGCGTGGGTAGCTGAAGACCTATTCTACCCCGGATCTTCACGGGTGAGGGGTGTTCTTTCACTTCTGTTGAGTAGTATTATATATAGAATACACCATTGTCTCTTTTAACTGTAACTGTGTGTCAACTGCAAGATGTACGTTGGAACATCACCGAGAATAACGAAGTAGCAAACATTTCAGTGTTTACATAATTTAAGGAAACTGAGTGCAATGTCTCTTAATAGGTTACAATTTCTTTCACCAAAGACTTTTGGAGATTTTACGACTGCATTGGAAAGGGCGGAGATCAAATCACTTCGGACCTCAGGCCACATTCAGACATCAGAGGATAGGAAGTTGTTAGCTTATCGGTATTTTTATATACTGTAAATACTTTAACTCAGATGTTTACATAATTTATCTAGTCTACCTTGTTTTGAGACTTGATAAACATCCGGGTTGCTTTGAGTCACGCCCTTGTTTTATTTAAGGAACAGTTAAGGATTAAGTCTGCGTTTCTCACCAGGTGACAAAATGAGGATTGGAAGGTAACAATGGCCGCACAGTGTCACGTGACCATCTGGGGCGGGATGGTGCCACCAGGTGTCAGGGTGCCCTGGTGTCATCATCTGAACATACCCAGGGTTCCTTGCGGTCAACCCAGTACCTCTACCACCGGTCATTTTACAAGGCCTATACAATAAATACAGTAAACTACGGTTATAACGAACACAAAGGGACCACTAATTTTAGTTCGTTATAACCGTAGTTCGTTATGAACAAAAATACAATACATATACAGCAAATGGACGGGACCAAAAACGGTTCGTTATATCCGTCATTTCGTTATAATCGTGTTCGTTATAAACGTAGTTTACTGTACGTATGTTTATCGGCCATCGGTTCCGTTGACAATGAGGTTTTGCCTTTCCACCAGTAAGTCATCAGGTACAGATCGGAGTTGTCCTCTGGGTTTACGGTGGCCCATAAGGGACATTGAGTCTGTGTTTCCATATTTTGATATTTCACTCACATTTATCGTAACCTTTTGCAAATTAACACTATTTGTCTTACAAATATGTGATAAATCATGTGTAAAGAAGATATTGAATCGCTGAAAAACGAAACGAAAATGTCAAAAACTAAAATGAAAATACAGAAAACTATTTCCACCGCGGTGGAAATAGTTTTCTGTGTATTCATTTTAGTTTTTGACATTTTCGTTTTGTGTTTTTGACATTTTCATTTTAGTTTTTGACCTTTTCGTTTTAGTTTTTGACATTTCCATTTTAGTTTTTGACATTTTCACTTCACATTACAGCGACTCAAAAGCTACTTAAAAGTACATTTTCTATGTTTTCGGATGTTTTTATACATGATTTATCACATATTTGTATGGCAGATTGTGTTAATTTGCAAAAGGTTAAGATAAAAGTAAGTGAAATATCAAAATATTGAAAAACAGACTCCATGTCCCTTATGGGCCACCGTACTGGGTTCATGTAATTTGTGAACAGCACTGCACAGCAATGGAGGATGAATAGTACCAGAAGCAAGTCAAGTTCAGCCAGGTCGAAGTCCGGATATGCATTACCCGTGGGGGTATATTTTAAACCAATGGTAGAACTGGTACACCAGCATAACTTCAAAATAACTAAAATCCTCTTATTTGATAAAGTTTGTTAAGAGTGAGTGAGTGGGTGAGTGTGGTTTTGCGCCGCTTTTAGCAATATTCCAGCAATATCACGGCGGGGGACACCAGAGTTTGTTAAGTAAAAGATTAGTTCAGCATTTTCAATATTTCTGCAACGGGAGGTGTCGTGTTGATTTCTAAGAAATGACTTCGTTGAGACCAAACAGCATATATGAATCAGATTGTATGGACTTAACTACATATCAAAGGGGCATATTTGATCACTCCTTTTTAAAAACAAATTTGTCACCAATGGTTTGAACCAGTCAATAATATAAGTAATTAATCTCGAACTTGAGTAATATTGGTTACGTTTTCACTACCTTTTGGAATCTTCCAAGACAGCTGACCTATTCACCCATGTGCGTTATGCGTTCCAAAAGAGTACCGTTTTTACATCGTTCCTGTCGTCATGGCAACACTGATAAAACCTACTGTGTTTTGAAATTTGAGGTAGTCTAACTGCAGTTTAGATTCCACGTGTTTATAAATTTGAAACCTCGCTCTACAGTGCTCCGTTCCAAATGAAAATAAGAGGTATTTACAGTTAGACTACCTCAAATTTCAAAACGGTAGTTTTTTTCTCCTAATGTGATAGTGTCATGTAGAATGGTGATAAATATATACTGAGAAACCTTGAAAACAAGCATCTGTATCTCCCAAAAGGAAGTATGCTCATGATGTCAATCACTGAATTGTCTGGTCCAGACTCGATTAATTACAGACCGCTGCCTTATAGCTGGATTATTACTGATAACGGAGTTGAACAACAAACAAACAAACAAACAAATGGAGGCATGTCTCACCACTGGGCCGTAGGCATCGATCAGACCTGGACACATGAGGTCACCGCGATAGTTGAGGAATTCGGTGATATACTTGCATATACAGACAGCTTCCGCCTTGAAGTAGTCGAAAGTCCCGTTCGAGGCAATTGTAGAAATGGCCAGATTGACTATCAACTGCGAATACAGAAGTTAAGACAATACATAAACTCAAACACTACAGACACACTGTGCAATACAAACTATGACAAAACAGAAATAAAACCAGGTTTTAGGGAAAATAGCGTGCTACCTCCCTGGTAGCACATGTGCCGTAACACCGGGTGTTTATTCAGTTTTACCAATGTGCTAAACGTGGATGACCTAGATTACTTTCCCTAACATCAAGCTGAACGCCGTGATATGGCCGTAATTCTGTTCAAAGTGGCGGTAAACGATAAAAAAAGTAACATCATAAATAAGACTGACATAAATCGTGATGCCCCTCAAATGCAATTTGAGCCTCAACTAAAGTTAGCAGGACGTACAAATATGGTTCAGGATAAATTGTTTGATAGGCATTATTTAGAAGTTGACGGATGACAAGGTAGACACAATTTTATGGATAACAACTTCTTTAATACTGTGAAAAGCGACGTTTCGGTATAGATCCTTATACCGTTGTTCAAGCAAGACAGTTAACAACTTCTTTAATACTGTGAAAAGCGACGTTTCGGTATAGATTCTATACCGTTGTCAAGCAAGACTGTCTTGCTTGACAACGGTATAAGGATCTATACCGAAACGTCGCTTTTCACAGTATTTAAGAAGCTGTTATCCATAATTCTTTTCTACCTTGTCATGGTTCAGGGTGTATTTGATGTTTTCAGCGTAGTACTATATTGAAACTATGAACCCGCATGGTTTTGGTGTCAGTCGAGATTAAAAACTGTAAAGTTTCCTGTGCGAAACATAACTCGCACGAGGAAGTGTATGTATCAGCAGTCGTCAAATTTGTTTGTTAAACTGATATGTTGGTACGTTTCGTTTCCTAGGCGAGCCAGTGAAGGTTATGACGTCAAATCTTATTTACTTTATTGTATTTGAACGTTTTGATAAAACGGGTAATCAATATTGTGGTTTCCTGTAAAATGTGATTAATGTCTTAAGCTCAAGGTCACTCCACCAGTGCGGCTGTACACTGTAGATACCCATGGCCGATATATATATGAAAACCCACTCACTCACTCAGTAACATTCCTTGCATTCTTTTCAGACCATATATTGTAAGTGAATGAGTTGGGTTTAACGCCGCTTGGAGTAGTATTTCAGGTATACCAGGTGTTGTAGCTTATGTGGGAGATAGGCTCTTTCCGTTCATAACATGTATTGTGGGGACAGTTCACTCACTCATCCTCGCTTGTATCCCGTACGACTCACTCACTCACTCAACTTACCTTGCATTGCTCACACAGCATGTATTGAGGGAACAGCTCACTCAACCCCAACGTCCTATCCCCTAAAGGGTGATCTTGTTTGGGAACGGGAAGACTCACGACGACGTGTACGACGCTGACCACCAACACGAGCGTCTTCACGGCGTCCAACATGGTCAAGCCGTCGAGTGAACTACAGTGTCACGAGGTTTTCTTCCTCATCTGAAATAACAAGGAAAACTGGGTACGAAACTAAAACTAGATTGATAAAACTGAATAACAGTTTATACCCTCAATATTTCCAAGAACGCCGCATGGATTCCTCTGAATGGGTGATGGTACTAATTGTTCACACGGTAGCAGGTACTGTTTGTTTATACATTGCAATAACTAATGGTTCTTGCCGGTAGTTATTTTTATAATTGGAATTTTATTATCAATTTGTCCAAAAGATGGCACACACAATAAAAGGCACGCACCAGATGTTTATAATTTCAAAATCCCACACAGCAATATCGAGAGTCACGTGAGTGTTCAGTACGACCGTTACTATGTATAGCATGAATAAAGTAATAAAGTAAACTGTCAAGCTGGGCCGGCTCTCTGTTCAACAAAGCGATCGCAGCTCTACGGGTGGGGAGGGGTGAAATGGGAGGGGTGAAATGGGAGGGGTGAAATGGGAGGGTTGAAGTAGGTTTAACGTCGCGTCCAAAATTATTGCACTTATATAGCTACATGTATGCACGTGTGTGTGTGTGTGTGTGTGTGTGTGTGTGTGTGTGTGTGTGTGTGTGTGTGTGTGTGTGTGTGTGTGTGTGTGTGTGTGTGTGTGTGTGTGTGCAAGCTTGTACTAGTCGGGACTAATGCCGATTTGTAGTGCTACCCCACTGATATACCATGCCGCAGTTTAACATGAATACCCCACCCAGACACAGTATACTGACTCCAAGCCGACCAGCTCTTGTTTTTGTCCCTTAATGCCGAGCGCAAGACAGGGTAACAACCAGTACCATATTTTCACGTCTTTTGGTATGACGCGGCCGGGGATCGAACCGCTCTCTGGGCGGACGCTCTACCACTAGACCACGGAGGCGGTCTCATGGCTATACGACTGCCGAAGGTCTGTTGACAAATGGGAGATACAATCGTCTCAGCGCTATGAAATCGCTTTGCTGGACAGGACCCATCAGTGACGTACACCATTGCATTGTGTTCCTACATAAAACAGACCGCCTCTGTGGTCTTGTGGTAGAGCGTCCGCCCGGAGAGCGGAAGGTCCAGGGTTCGATCCCGGGCCGCGTCATACAAAAAGACGTTGAAAGATTGTAGTTGTTGTTACCCTGTCTGGCGCTCGGCATTAAGGGGCTAAAACAAGGACTGGTCGGCTCGGAGTCAGTATACTGTGTCTGAGTGGGGTATTCATGTTAAACTGCGGCATGGTATCTCAGTGAGCTAGCACTATAAATCGGCATCAGTCCGGACTAGTACAAGCAGCAACACACACACATACACGTGCATGCACGTCCCTATATAAGTGCAATAATCTTGAACGCGACGTTAAACCCAATTTCACCTCACCTCACCTCCTACATAAAACATTTACTATGTTCATCTGCTCACCTTGTCGTATATTTCTCGCTTCAAAAGAAATGGACCGTCTTCTTAAAGGTCATTTTAAGTCGGAGGTGCTACGGCGCCGTTATTGTACAGCTGGACCATCGTATCTGACCATGGTGGTCAGGAATACAAAGAACCTAACTGGCTTTTTAACACGGACAGACCCTGTGACCTGCCGTCGAGACCCGATTTCTCGCTGACATACTGGCTGTATACCAGATAAAGATACCATTCACATGACTTCAAGTGTATCTATTTATACTATGTGTTGAGAGTGAACTGTGCGAGCCCACTCCTTGCTGGGTAGTAAAATGTCTGGGTTAGTCAGTGTGTGTATTGCCTCTATAGAGGCACAAGTGACGTCGAAAGTTTTTGTGTTTTGTGTGTGTTGTTTAACGCCGCACTCAGCAATATTCAAGCTCAATGGCGGCGGTCTGTAAATAAACGAGTCTGGACCAGACAATCCAGTGATTGATATCATGAGCATCAATCTACGCAATAGGAATACGATGACATGCATCGACAAAGTCAGCGAGCCCGCTTACCCGATCCCGTTAGTCGCCTTTTATGACAAGCATGCACCGCAAACACGAAAACGTCGTTTTTTCCGTATATGGTCATTGGACGGAAAAACGACGAAAAATTTATTAAAATTGATTAATTGGTTAGCGTCTAGAAAGTGTCCGGAAAAGCGTCGAGTTTTTCAAGCGTAAAATGGACGGATAAACGATGCTTTTTGTTCCGCCTTGTACAACTGTTAACGGCCAATCAGATGGCGCTTTGACAGCAATTGTACACCGATGCCTTAAATGGTTCGACAAGAAAACAATAACATCTTTATACCTGATACTGCAGTGATCTAGACTTGCCAAACATTATAGACTTGCATGGGCTGTATTTGATATATATTTGTATCAGGGTCTGTAAGACAGACTATGTTTCGGCATAACTTCATCTATTCATCTTAGGCAACAGCTTCTTTTTGCAAACAACTGGGTCATCACTGATCCATGAATTTATTTCACCTCTATTGTCAACGTTGTCAGGAATTTGTTTTGTTGGCAAATCGAAATTGGTTATTCACTAGCATTCTCAAGCATTGATGTTTCATATTTCTATACAGGAGTATTGGTTGATAACAACATCTGGTGTCACATGACACCAAAACATAAGAGGTATATCTGAAGTAAATAATATTTTATTCAGGAAACAATAGTCAGGGTTAGTAACCAGACCAGACTAAATGTTTATATTTCCCTTTAAAAAAATGTTAAATAAACACACGTTTGTGTTTACCGTTATGCTTGCCCATGTAGCCGTCGTATACATGTAAAATATATAAATGTTGTGTACAGTCATGTGTGGAACTGAATACAATATTGAAATAAGGAACGTGTTCATGAGGCGAGACATTTCAAAACAGTTTACAATTATAAGGTGTTGAAGATCTTCTTTGGTTGACAGCAAAATACAGTTTTTACACGTGCACGTACCTTAGCTACATCATAAATTATACATATATATATATATATATCCTACACCACGAGATCTGACTTGGTTGTGGTTCAGGGAAATTTGACAGCAAATCGCTACATGAATCAAATTCTTCAACCTCACCTTCTTCCAATCATTGACCACCAGAAACGAGACCTAAAAAACGAGAACACGAGAACGCGAGATCGCGAGAAAATGAAATGTCGCATTCTTGCGTTCTCGCGATTTTGTGTTTTTGTGGCCTAATTTGACAAGTCGAGATTGTGAGATTGCGAGATTTTGCATCATGTCCAAATGTCGCATTCTCGCGTTGTCGACTTTTGACAAAAAGTGCTATGTATCCAAAACACGAGAATACGAGAATGCGAGAACGCGAGAACGCGATATTTTGTCCAAATCTCGCGTACTCGCGATTTCGCATTCTCGTGTTTTTGGCATATTTAGTTCGTTTCCAATGGTCGAGATCGCGAGAATGCGAGATCGCGAGAATGTCTCTTACAGTATTCCATAGGTAATATATGTCATACATTTGACAAAATGTATTGACTCAGAGCATTATTGTTAATCACAGCGTATAGACTCGGCATGTAGATGAACTCATCAGCGCATTTTTACACTTTATCTATTAATTGGCATGTTAGACTTCTATTTCATAACTCAGTTTTATTTGCACGGATCACTATGGAATTTTGGAAGGGACATTGTCGCGTTGTCGTATTGTCGCATTGACGCCCTTGCAATAACAAGCAAAACGTGTCAAAATTAACCAAAGCGCGACAATTCGACAACGCAACATTTTTGTCGCATTGTCGCGTTGTCGCGTTGTCGCATTGTCGCTCTTTGAATAATCTTTTTCCATATTTTACAAAAGGGCGACAATGCCTTAACGTGAGATATTTCAATGTCAAAATATGTCTCGTTGTTGCATTGTCGCCCCATCACAAATATGTATAAAAGGCGTAAAGTTCAGTAATTGTTACAGTTAGGGAGCGGTAACCAAGTTATATCTGTGTAGAAGTTCAACCTGATACAAGTTCGTCTTGAATTGAAAACACAAGTCCGTCAGCGAGTCCATAACGTTTTATGGTGAGCTCTTCTCTATAAGTGCTTAGTGTTCAACTCCCAGTTCCAAACACGTTGCTCCTCATAAACAATCCACATTCCTCTAGTGCAGTGATCGTCCGGAAGATCTTACTCTTTACCGTATCAGACAACTGACGAGTGCACGCCTGACCTGTGACCTCGTTACACCCCCCATGGGGTGTTTGCCGAAGGGAGAGGGGCAGGAAATGTGTGCTCCTGCTCGCGACACACTGTATACTGCATGTTGTATACTGATTTGTATTTGTATACTGATACTGATTTGCGGAAAAGCTACAACTTTCAAGATTCAAGATTCAATTTGCATTTATTTCTGAGAGCGGCGTTAAAACGATTTGTTTTCATAATGGAGCGCTGCAGTAATTTAAAATGGAACCGTATACATGCGTAGTACCAACTCAATCACTCTGTTTCGAATATTCAGCAGCAAAACTATATATTAACCAGCTGTGAGGAGAGATTTAAGATTTTTATAAGCAGTCAAATATGGATGATAAAGGACCCCTCACTGATTAGGTTCTTGTTTACTTAAGAGCAGAGTTGGCCATGTTAGATGATATAACCAAAATCCAGGAGCTCCGGCGGGTGGGTGGGGGGGGGCAAACTGGTCTTGTTATTGTGTGGTACGAGCTGTGACGTAGACCCAAGAGAATAAAGTAAAAAATGAGACCAACGCAAATCTACAATCATTGGGAAAGTCTAGAGTTCCACAGCTCTAGCCTGAAATTAAGAATTGTTCTATCCTCCTTTTTAATTTTTTAATTTTATTTTGTAGATATGGATAGACCAACCAGGAAAGAAATTGATGGAATATTAATATCACATGTCACCAATGATGCAGTTAAATTCATCACACAATAACATATTAGTGTTTGATATTACGAAGGGCATGATCAGGTACATGTTCACTGTAGTAATGTACATACTAGTCAACTTGATTATAATGTTTATTATAGCGCAGCGCGGCATCAACGATTACTATATGATATCCTCACTTGTCATCGATGTATTGGCATCGAACAATGGACGATAATTCGAAATTCTTTTTTGAGCTATAAATAGCTTCAACAAGGACAGTACCGGCGTCAGTAAAAATTTTCGTAGTTAAAAATATATATCTACAAAATATAATCTAAAGGAGCCAAGAACAATACTGTTTTATTAATACTTACTTCCATGGATAGAATTGAGGCAATCTGGGCTTGCCAAATCGTTCTAGACTTGAGCTGGATTCCTTTTAAATTTATTCTCTATGGTTTGGGAGACATACAAGGATGTCAGTATCGCATTGAGAACTGACGTTTGGGTCCAGCCTGGGTCAGTGTAATGGGATATATTGTGGAGTTTCGGGTTTGGGCTGTTTGCTGAATAAAACAATGGCTCACAAACAAGGGCACAATGTAGAGATAAAAGCATCACCACCTCTGTTTATATCAGATATGTTATTGTGATTTGAAATATCTTTTTGAACAATTGCGAGTTATTGTATACTCTGTATTCTTTCGTCATGGTAGAATATATATTTTCTATGTTGCTTTTTGTATTATCCACAAATAATGAGAACTACAATGTGAACGTCTATCTGGAGATATACAATAATACACCTGAAGGGCATATCTGAAAAATGGGACTAATCGACTAATATTTCTTTCTTAAACACTGTCCGTTACAGGCATTCTAATCATTATATTATGCTTTGTATAGTTTAAAAATTGAGAAATATTGCATTTCAAATCATGGCAAATTGTGTATCTTTCTACATTTTGAATTCAATATAATTTCTGCAATAAAACCTTAACATCAGATAGTGATATATACGAATATGATCTATACTGTAATAAATGAATTATTAATTTCGTATTATGAGTTAAATAAATTGAAATATGATAGTACAAACAAATTATTTTAATCTGTTCGTGTGAGTAGGAAACAAAAGATCGAGGCAACTCACTGACGTAACCATTTGTGAAAAATCAAATATTAAAAGTTTAGGGGTTTGAACATGTGCATTGAATGACAGACAAGAAAGCAACACAATGATTAAATTATGAATCAAATTATTTTATAAATTAAACTAACTATATAGAAATTAAAAGTTTAATTTCTCATTGTTGGAAGGTGTTTAATAATAGTTTTTGTTTGATTGTTTGTTGTGACGGCAGTTTGTAAATAATCCAGTCTGGGCCAGACAATCCAGTTATTGACATCAAGAGCACCGATCTACGAATTTGGGATACGATGACATCATCAACCAAGTCAGCGAGTCTGACCACCTGATTACGTTAGTCGCCTTCGTACAAGCATGGGTTGTTGAAGGCCTGTTCTAACCCGGATCTTCACGGGTATTGTTTTTAATAATAAGGTACAATGAAATTCTGTATATGTCCATAATAAGTGTGTATAAGTAAATGTATGATATATCCATACACGCCAATTAAATGGGTTAGACTTCATATGGTTCATTGATGAACTCTTTTACAAGTCTATATTTCAAGTCGCAGACATGCATTTGATATTCATAATAACTCCACAAAAGCTACACAATGGCGACAAAACGGTACCAGCATCACAGATACCTATAATACATTTTTGAACATGAGATACATATA